CCCCAAAACCCCAAAACCCCAAAACCCCAAAACCCCGCGAGTCAAACTAAATTGATTATATGAATATAAAACTTTAGCAAATTAAGACCACATAATAATCATATAATTTCAATGGAGTCTTAAACAAACAATTAAGAACTCAAATAATAGCAAGCAATGCAGCTAAAGGATAAACCTAGGAGTTGGGTGAAAAGAAGATCTCTAAGTAAATAAGATAGACCTTAGAATTTTAAAACAATTAATAAGTAAGATGACAATTAATCGCCAGAAGTAATCAAATTTGAATAAAGTCTCAAAGCAAAAATAATGGTAGGACCACAATAATTTAGAGACTAAATATTGTAAAGAATAAAAGAGAGATCAATAACATTAAATGAGTTAAACAAAATAGTAAGTTAGATGTCACTTGTTAATGAATTAATTTTCAACAATGTGCTCAATAATAACTTCTGGAAAGAATACTCGCAATACATTTATGATCACTACTCTGATGAGACAAACAAGAATACGGAGTTCAAAATTCCTTTGCAAGAGCTTTCCCTTTATTTCGTTATTCTAAAGCGAGTTTCATATAAAGAAAATTTAGATATTACCAAAACAGGATTAGCTAGGATTATAAAGTAGCACTTTCTGAGATATGACAGTTTAGAATTGGACTAAATTGATGATTACTTAAATATCGTCAAAAACCTTATGAGGAGTAGCTATTAAATGAGGTTGATGTGCGATAAGCTAATCATTCAAAGAACACTTACCTTTTTTGTTAATTCTGCTCAATCACTTTCTAGAAGCCAAATGTTTGATATTTTATTTTCACTTTCACAAGTAAAGTTTGATAGGAATTCATTAGCCTATTAATTCTGCAATACTTTTATAAATACTGCGCAGGCTCATCTTGAATCTTTAAAAGTAGAGGAAATGGCTATTATTTTAAGAACAATTAATTAGCATCATCTTAATCATTAAAGCGTTTAAGTCTTTGAGTATGCTTGTAGGTCATTATTGATGACCACTTTTAATGAGATATAATAAGAGTAGAATTTGAAGAGAATATTCTTCACTCTACACTATATAGATGATTTAATCGTTTTAATTGAAGCCTCTCTACTTCTTCATAAATTGAATCCTACTGAAAATAAAGTTGAAACTATTATAGAAGCTTTGAGTCTAATAACCTCCTAACCAGAATCAGTTTAGTTACAGCATTTCAAAAAATTATAGCATCTAATAAATTCTAATGAAATTGAGCTTAAAGATCCTTAGGTTCAATAATTCTTTTAGTATTACATCTAGAAAAATTTTAGCCTGATGCCTACAGACATGAAGCTGAATTTAGTTTAACTTTAAAAGAATATAGGTTTCGAGCTATAAGGAATTTCAGAATCAATAGAAAAAGGGTTTGCGGAGGAAATGAGTGATATATAATACATACCTAAGAATTCTATGGGAGTATATATTTAAGGGCTAATTGAGAAAGAGGACACAAATAATTTAAGTGATGAAACTAAGAACAAAATTTTGTTAGCAATTGATCAGTGTTCACCTAATTATCTTGTTACAATAAGTGACACCCTAATTGAAGGAGGAATTGATTTTGAATCACATCCAGAAGCATGGAGTAGAATTGCTCGAGTTGTCAGTGATGATTCTGCTGTCATTGGAGATTGGTAATTTAAAAAGATCGCCATAAATTTGGCGTACGCTAAATACAATGGTACTTTAGAAAGAATTATTGAGAGATTTCTAAAATTATCTTTTTAATCAGACTTTTTGTCCTGCCTCTTATATAGAAACATTATGCTTAAAAACTATCCAGACTAAGAAATATAAATTGCTTAAATTGAAGAAAGAGCTCAAAATCTCCTATATCATAGCGTTTAGAGTAAAACAGTAGAATTATACAATCCCATGCTGAGAGAAAGTTTAAAAAGATCAAAATTTATTCAAATGAGTACAAGAAGCTACACAACCAAATTGATAAGAGGTTTTAAAATGCTTATTTGATTAATTAAAATAACTAATTTTCTACTTTTTAGCACAATGGGGTTTTGGGGTTTTGGGGTTTTGGGG